TGAGGAACAATTTCTTGCCCTGGAGGGTTGCCCAGGGCTGTGCCAGGCTGCCCAGGGCAGTGGTGGAGTCCCCACCCCTGGAGGGGTTCCCAAGCCGTGGAGATGTGGTGCTGAGGGGCTGCTGGGGTGATGGTTGGACTCCATAATCTGAAAGATCCTTTCCAACCTAAACGATTGTAAGATTCTAAGTCCTGATGACTGTGGAAAGAGCTGTTCCACCATCTGGAGAGCATAACTTTAAACATAGGGGTGTCAGTTTTGAGTAGTAAAACATCAGGAGAAGGTCTGTTTAGAGGCCATGGTGACTGAAGGCAGGGTTAGCACGAGGTCTTTGCACCACACCAAGCTTTGGAGGAACCCATCCCTTCCAGGGTGGATTTCTCCAAGAAGACACTCGACTCTGTTGCTCTTGGTAACCACATTTCCTGATGGGATGTCCACCTCTTTGCAGGTGTTGGGACTTGAGTGCTGGCAATTTAAAGTGGATTATTCAGGTGCCCATCCTGGCAGCTATCGTGGTGAGTACTCGTGGTACCCAACTCGTGGTGGGTCAGTGGGAAGAGCTGAACCAGGCTGCCCTGCCCTAATCAACCTGTTAATTGAGCTCCTGACTTAACAGGGTGGAATTTCTCTATCTATCTCCAATTTAAGGGCCTTATAATCATTAAGGAAACAAGCACTGAAGCCAATATCTCCAACACGTGTGATCCTGGACACCCTCAAGGGTTGTAACACGTTCTCACCAGGCATCTCCAGTGCAAAGAACCAGAATTTAGGTGGGGGTGAATGTTCAACCACCCCATCTATGATCAGACATGATGTTCATGATGCACAATTACTTCAGCCCCTCCCCAGGAGGCAGGGGGGACAGAAAGGATGTAAGTGGCATTGTACAGACCCAGGGCTGAGCTCTCACAAGCTGGAAAGATCACGATAAGTTGTGATTATCTGCACCAGGGGAGCTCAGTGGGTGGGTTTGTGTTTGATTAAGCAGGGTCCTAATTAGCTAGAGAACCTGCCCTCACAGTTTTCATTATTTACCCTCTTTCCTCCTTCTCCATTACCCCATCTGCTCATGGTTACAAGCAGAAGAACTTGTCCCCTCCCACACACCTTAGTCCCCCTTAATGTTCATCCACGAGTAGCTGTGGAGTCAGTTAGATTGTCTTAGACCCTGTAGTCTTCAGAAGGTTTTGCATCAAGCTCTCTACGCTTTCTTCTGCCTCCCAAATCATTTGGAAGATGGTCAGGGTGGGTGAGAAGAAAGTCAGACCCCCTGCAGCTTAACAGGAAAGTTTCTTAGGTGGATATGTTCATATGTGCAATTAGCTGAGCTGATTTGGACTTGGAGGGTGAAGAGGGGGGATGTTTCTTCATCAGAATTTCCTTCTGGTGGCAATTCTCCACCTGGCTCTAGCAATTAGCTCTGTAACTTGGAAGAAAGGAATGACCAAGCCCACCTCGTGGTGGTTGGAAATGAAATAGTAGGATGGAGAAGAAAGTTCAGATAGTTCAACGAGACGAACGCCAGCAACCTCATTGCATTTAATTTAAAGCCCAATTAAGAGAAGAGAAGGAGCTCAGTTGAGGCTGGGCCTGGTAAAAACGATGTTCCTTCATGAGGCTCTGCTGTGCTTGGACCCTGGCTCTTTGCAAAGGCAGTTATTTATCATGCAAAAATATTCTGTGGGTTGTTTCTGTTTGATTTCTGTGGGTTCACATTGTTCACTTGGCTGCTTTTCCAGTTCCCACACTGCCTGGTCATACGTGGCTGGACTTAGTTATGTGTTTTCTGGGCGTACTTGCAGAGGATTTAGAGGGTGAAGGGCTGAAAATCCCACTGCTCTGCTGCTGGCTTTGGTGGTGTTCAGTTATCTGGCTTGCTTTTAAAGCCTAGCACATGTTTCAGGGAGTCAGAGGACTTTCCCTTCTGGCTGTGATAAGGTTGGACATCTTCAGTGCAGCCGACAACGGCAGGACAAGATCCCACTTTTGAGCCTTGGAAGCCAGAAAAAACTTGTATGAGGAACAAAGCCTGGGGTTTTTTTTCTTTTTCCTTATCCCTCTCAGTTTGGTTTCCATTGAAAATGAATCCTGTGCCCCCAGGCTGTGGGCTTCCCTGCCTGTCGGTCTACCCATCCCTCCTTTGGAACCTTGGTGCCAGGCAGTGAATTCCAAGCCAATGTAACTAAGGGAACGGGGTTGCAGGGATGTTAAAATTCCCACAAACCTCAAGAAAACAGTCCAATAGATCCAGGAGAGAAATTCCACCAGTGCCCCTTCACGGGGAAGGGTGTGGTAGGACCTTACTCTCTTTTTAACACAGAGGAGAGCTGTTGGGAACGAACTTGCACCTCGTTAAAGGAGAAGGAATCCAACCACAGAAGACAAAGCCCTAGCAAACCAGGACGTGTTCCTTCAGCAGCTCAGGGAACTGCTTGTTTTAAGAGTGAGGATAATTAACCGTTGGAACCAGCTACCAATGGTTGTGGTAGGATCTCCGTCATGGAAAGACTGACCCCCAGATCTGCTCTAGCTCCACCAAAAATGAATACAAGGAGGTCTTATGGGCTGCTTTTTGCAGGAGATCAAACTAGAGGTTCACAATGGACCCTTCTGGTGTAAAACTGGGAGTCTGAGTGTGGCACGGTGATTTTCTGTCCTTGAAATGCTGCCATGCTGGCATCTGAGAAGTCAAATGGCTGTTGCAAGCCTCCAGAGAAACCCCTAAGCCCAATGGTTCTTCTTGTGACCTCGCCATGGTCCCAAAAATGGGTTTGTCTGGGGTGGCAGCAGGTGTAATCCCAGCCCCAGCGAAACCAGTCTCTAAAGAGCTCCAAAAAAGCTGAGAAACCCTCAAACATCTCCTGATTTCTCCTCTGTTACGTAGCCATGAGATGTCACCTCTACCTGTTGCTGCACGGGCCACCATGAGCATGTTCCTGTAGGGCTAGATTAGCTTGGTTGAGCAGTTGGCCACCAGATGAGTTCATAGATGTGGCTCCCTGCATGAGAAGTAGATATTACTTCCTTACTGTCCTTATCTGCTCCATACTAACCACTTCCCCAGAGGCAGAGTCAGCAGTAGACAGGGAACAGATTTCCAGTTATATTGTCCTTCTGCATTCTTCATCTGGCATCTGTAGTTAGATCTACTCTGTCTCTCTGTCCTGGTGTAATTTGCTTGCTCTTCTTCATGTTTGCACGTGGAAACACAGAAAGGCATCCCACGAATCCTTCCCTTAGCCTGAGGAGATCTCAATCTCAGGTGGGCTGCGAGGGACGAATATAACCTGGTTGCTCCCTAGACCTGGAACTAAATCTGAGAGATTTATGAGGCCAGGAAAATAACCCAGCTCCTTGTATGGAGCTTTAAAACAAGGTGATGTGAAAACTACTGAGAGTTGTCTGTAGTCCAGACCTCAAGCTGCCTGGGATGTATATGGGGCATAGATCAGGAGAGAGATGTCTTCTGTAGTATTAGGATGAGGTGGCTCATCTTGGGGAGGGCATTGGCTAAAAAACAACAACAACAATCCTCATCTGGCTCTTTTTTTAACTGTTAATCCTGTCTTTTGTTGGTTTCTCTTCCCCCTCCCCCCCTCTTGCAGGTAAATTTTATTCTTTTTATCAATATTATCAGAGTCCTGGCAACCAAGCTACGAGAGACGAACGCAGGGAGGTGTGACTCCAGACAACAGTACAGGTGAGTCACATCCCCCCTCCAGCTTTTGGGGGGTGTCAGAGTCCTTATTTCACCCCTTTGACTCCCCAGGGTGACTAATTCATGCTGTCTACACTTGTAGACACCTAAAAGAAGGTGATAAAAATTCTGTCTTCCCAATCTGGTGACACAGAACTCGTCAACAGCGGTTTAAACATCTCCTAAACCTTCCAAAGCCAAGCTGGAGGACCTGCCTCCTAGCTTAAAGAGCAGAATTCAGTCCCTTCAGCCAGTTTGGGAATGACTGTGCTGGCGTCGAACCAACAGCAGGAAAATAAAAGCATTGCTGGTGTTGTTGAAGCCCCTAAAACTTGTACGAGTTCATTCAGTTCTCTTTCTTTCCCCCCTGTGCTTTGTCAAACTTGGTGTGTTTGTTAAACCTGCCCTGCAGCGGGTGTTCCAGCACCTTGGCTGAAAGGACAAGAAGATTCCTGACCCTTTGCTGGAAATCTGGCGTTTCCCTGGTTGTTTTGTTTTCCTTTGTTCTGCCAGCTCTTCTCTCTTGATAATTGAGGATTTTTGTAGCGTGGTCAAAACAGGACAGAAAAAAAAAACAGATGGCTGAGACACCTTGGCTGCTTGAGAGCTCCCAAAGCTTCTCATAACCTCCTGAGCTCCACTCACCAGCATGACACATGCGAAGGGGAGGGAGCAGAACTGGGTTTGCAAACCATGAGCTCATTGCTGCCACCTCACTCTCTCCAAACACAAGACGTTTCATTGGAGGCAGGAATGAGATTTGGCAGGAAAACGCCTCTCCGTTTTTTTCTTTGCTGCCCTGTCAGGCCTCTGATTTATCTATTTATTTATTTCTCCCTGGCTGAAGCTCGCTGTTAATTATGGTTTGGATGGAGCCTTCTCCTTTTAATGTGTTAAATTCCCTCGGTGGTTTCCAGTTGGTGGACAGAGGAGGTACCAGGTCTCTCTGGTAGTGATGTCTGCCCTTCTCAATAACTGCCTGCCGTTGGTGACTTGCTTTAACTCTTGGCAGAAGGTTTAATCCTTCCATTAATATTGCTTCCAGGCAAGGTTGGTTCCCTCAGGAGCAAACCTAGCCAAGGGCTTGGGGTTGAATTGTAACCCCCCCTCCATCCCCAGTGTAGGTTCTAAGCTGAGGTGGAGATGCTTCTTTAAAAAGGGTTTTTTTTCAAGTGATACTGCAACCAAAGCACCTCCCCCTAAGAGTGTTCACCTTCTGCTTAGACCCACAGTGCCCTGTCCTCTTCCCCCTGGGATCCAGAGTAGCTCAGAGGCTGAGAAAGACACATCAGTCTCTTTACCCCCAGTCCCTATAACAACATCACACAGGGGCACACGTGAAGAGGGTGAGACCAGCACTGGGTGCTGGAGGATGGACCAGGTTGTGTCACGTACCAGAAGAGAAGCAACAGCTTGAAATCACCCGTGGACACTGTGTAAATGTCAGATATCCAAGCCCAGCCAAGGGGAGGTGGAAGAGAGACTGAAATTACTCCTAACTTCTGCCCAAGGTGTGATGTGGATGAGCCTGGTTGGGAGGTTGACTCCATCCCCTCATTCCCTCTGTGTCTTTCTCTCTCCTTCTTGCCACAGGAAGCTGCTGAAATCTACCCTCGTCCTCATGCCTCTGTTTGGTGTTCACTATATTGTTTTCATGGCTATGCCATACACAGACGTGTCAGGGATTCTTTGGCAAGTTCAAATGCACTATGAAATGCTCTTCAACTCTTTCCAGGTATGGTCATGGTGAAACTCTGGGGACAAACGAGGAGAATTGAAACAGGGAGAGGTGGGAAACAAGAGTGCAAGGTTGTCTTTGGAAGCAGGGCTGCTTCTACAATGCACCAGATTTCATTCAGGAGGTGATTTCGTGATGTTTCAGCATCAAGGGTGGTTAATATTTGCAAAGCACAACTCATAAAGGCTCAGTGTGTCCAACAAAAAAAAAATGTTCCTGTTGAAAGATAACTTGCCCCACAGAATAAATCCCTTCAGATCCAGGCTAGACATAAGCTGGTGGAGATCCACAGAGACACGTTGTTTCCAACCAGCTCCCAATTTACTTGTCCCAAGTTGTCTTTCAGTCCTGTGAATGGGTTCCTCAGTTCCAGGTTTGGGTAGGAGGCAGGTTTAGTTACAGGACGGGTCCTAGATGTAATACCCAGCTCTCCACAAGCAGAGCAGTGTTTGAGCATCTCTGCACCCCCTTCCCTGAGAGATTAACTGTGGGCTCACGTGCTGCTACCTGGCAGCAGGGTTGATTCGTGTGGATGATGAGAGGTGGGCAGTGGGGCTGCTCAGGGGACAGTTCAGAGAATCATAGAATCCTTTAGGTTGGAAGGGACCGCCAAGATCATCAAGTCCAACCAGTGAGCCATTAGGGCTCTAAAGTCAGAGAAGCTGTAAGGGAGATGGGGACCCAGCCTCCATTCATGTGCTTCCACAGTTCCCGTTGGGTGGAGATGGGATAAAACAGTGGGTGACCTCAGCAAGACCTGGGTAGACTGTTGGCCAACAGATGTAGGGAGTTTGCTAACATCTGAGCTCCTCCTCCACGTGTGGGCTTCTCCATTTACAATCAGAGCTGGAAAAGTCCCATCAGGACCATCTTCTACTCTCACACCCTGCAGCAGGATCAGCTACGTGTGAAAAGCTGGGATTGTTTCTTCAGTAAGCTCAGTGGGGTGGACCCCACCTAGGCACCCATCACCAGGTCAGAACCTTCCCCAAAGACCTAGGGGTGAAAACAATCGACCTGTCAGCTAAACCATGCCCCAGAGGGCTTCTGTAGCCTCGTCTGCTTGGCCAGAGGGCTGCAGGGAAATCTCTGTGTTTATCTGTTCTCCCAGAGAACAAGGTCAGGGTTCTTCTGCCTGTTACACAGCAAATGATGGATGTCATTGATTTCAGAGGAACGTGGGGAGCTGAGCAGCTCCAGCAGGAAGGAGCTCCTCACATCCAAGAAGATTGACATTAATATTGTTGCTTTTTCTTCCTTTTAGGGATTTTTTGTTGCCATCATATACTGTTTTTGCAATGGAGAGGTAAGTCACCAGCTTCTTCATTCTTCCCCTCCTTTGTTAGGTTAGTTCCACACACACCCCAAAAAAAATTGGATGCACAGCAGCATATCCTCACTTATTCTAGAGGCACAATCCTCCCTGAAAGATCTGTCAGTCCACATCAAGTTGATATCCTTGGTTTTGATCACGGACAACATCCAAGATCAATAAGTCACCAATAAATGAGCTACAAAAGTAGCTAATGGAGAAAAAAAAAGCCAAACAGTGGTTTTTTTTTTCCCAGCAGAAGTGCTGTTGAGTGCTGCTTAATTTCAGATCTGTGGCCAGAAGAAAAGTGGATTGCTCGAGCAGATGCATGACCCTCTCTTCTGGTTGTCGTGGGGGTTTTGGGCCTTTTTTCTAATTCCAGAGGGATATGCTTGAATGTCTTTGTTTCCATTAATTCTCTTTCGGGCTGCAAACTAAGAAATTAGGTGGTCAGAGGCTGCATATTGAGAAAGAACAGAGCTACTCTCATGGCCCAGCATGCAGCTGATTTGGTTTAAATTTATGGATTTTAAGGGGAAACGCAGCTACAGATCTGCTGCTTATTTCCTACAGCACAAAACCATCCGTGCTGTAAGGGGAATTGATCTCATCCTGACTCCAGCCATCTAAAAGTGGGATATTCAGTCGAAAGCAGTCAGCTAACTCCTCTCCAGAAGAAATTTCAGGTGGTTCAGGCACTTCTGGAGGTGGTTCATCACGCTTACATCTAACACTCATGGTGTATTGAGAGGAATTTGTCGTGGATGTGCTGCTCACAGCCCTTTAACCCTGGGAGAGAGTTAACCCATGTCTTCAGTCAGATGTTTTAAGCCATTCAAGCTTCCCAACATCACATATTTCACTTGGAAAGGGCTGGTTTCCTGTGGATTTACTGTTCCTTCCTTCAATCCCCAGATTGTTTCTCACCCCTTCTGTCCGCGGCCACTCCCTCCTTCTGACACCCTCTGCCCCTCTCTCCTCCCACTCACGGATATTTTTCCTGCCTTCTCTCTCAGGTCCAAGCAGAAATAAAGAAATCATGGAGCAGATGGACGTTAGCACTTGACTTTAAAAGGAAAGCACGAAGTGGGAGCACGACCTACAGTTACGGACCAATGGTTTCCCACACCAGCATCACAAATGTAGCCACAAGAGGAGCCCTCGCCCTCCACCTCAACACGAGACTCATACCAGGCACCCTCAATGGACACAGGAATTTGCCAGGTTATGTAAAAAACGGCTCCATTTCTGAAAACTCCATGCCTTCTTCTGGACCAGAGCAGTACAACAAAGATGAGGAGTACCTCAACGGCTCTGGGCTTTATGATGGAGACAGACCCACAGTCCTCGTTGAAGAAGAAAGAGAGACAGTGATGTAAAGAGTGGAGGAGAGAAGAAGCAAAAGGAGGAAAAAGGTTCCTGGAGAGCATTTAGTGGGCAAAAGAGGAGCGGGCCACGCGTGGGATGCCAAAGGTTTCCATCCAGTTTCTCTGTTCTGTGGAACAAGAGGTTAAGTTCTAGGGGAAAAAAAAAAAGTGAGCCTCCACTGTGGCCAGCTGTGGGTCACACCCATCTGCATCCTGCTCTGAGTCTCCCTGGCGTTGATGGAGACAGGGCTGGCCAGACCTGTGGGTCT